GGCCCCTCCCTGGGGCCAGCTCCCCCGCTGACCCCAGTAGGCACCCCCACACTCTGGAACCCACCAGGGCAAGGGGGCCCAGGCCCATCCGGACCAGGGCTAATCATTTCCAACCCCATAAATGCACGAGTATTATACACGTTTATATCATACGTCTCTAGAGGCCTGGCATTAATATGTGTGAGAATTCATGATTATTTCATGCTGATTATGTCGTAATTTGTTCACAATCTGCTTTAACTTCTGCCAGAGCAACATCCAGCAATTACGCAATAATTTTATGTCCTCATGGTTATTGCAATGTGGTTGTTTTTGCACAAAGTGCACACCACCTCACTGTTTTTGAGGCAGTGTGATGATGGGCAAATGTGCCATCCTCAGTTATTTTCAACTGTTTCTGGGCAAGAAAAGACTGAGAGGAGTAATTAAATGTAAAAAGAAGAAACCCACCAACCAAACAAACAAAAACAGGTTTCGCATCTGTTTCACTGACACATTCACCTAACAAGCAAAAATCCCAGGCTATATCCTGGGAGGAGACACAAATCCCTTTGGGGTTGCATCAGGAAGGACATCCGGCATAAAAATCTCAACATGCAGAGCTGCCTGCTGTGGAGCCCTGCGTGAATATGACAGCAGCCAAAAGTACTTATTTATCTATTTATTTGTTTTTATGAGCACCTGGTGGTAAATAACATGCTGCCACTACCAAAAAAGTGGCATTGATGCACACCTACAAGCTTTTGGCCAATCACTAACAACAAAAAAGTAAAAGTAAAATATGTGTGAAGTGGCGAGACACTACAGCCATCAAACGGAAAAAGACTTGTTGGTTCAGAGTGAACATCAAGTTTGATTTTTTTCAATCACTGCTGAAGACTAGAGCATTAACTTTGGGAAATCCTGATACCCCATTTTTCCTTTTCTCCAGCTGTGCCCACAGCATCTGTGAGCCAGCATCCTCCAAGAGTGTGAGCCTTTCTGGGATTTTGGCTTCCTAAGTAGATATTTGGCATGGAAAACTACAGAATCAAGTAACTAAATGTCACTGCTTCATCTGTCCCGAGTGCCAGAATGCTGATGCAACCCAGTTTGACAGCTACACAATCCAGAGCTCCTTCTGTCTGATACAAACTCCAAACGTTTTTTGCTCCAGATCTGCTTATTTATGAATGTGTCGAAAGCTCCTCATCAGGTACATCACCTGAAGCACTGTCATTAACACAATACCTTCAATTTCAGAGCAAACGCAGCTATCAGCTAAACCTCCTTCAGAGCCATTGTGCTCCTGTGACATCACTGTGCCTCGGCTCACTCAGCGTAACAGTGAAACACTTTTTTGTAAGGATAACTGAGGAGGAAAAAGACAGCACCTTCTTTTACTTCAGCACTATAAAAAACAGAAAGAAATTACTTTTTCACTGCAAGCTGGAAACAAAAAACACCTGAATTTAACTAAACAAATAAGTAAGAGCTTCCCATTAGATCAGAGGTCTACATACTGCGACACTGTGTGCCCAAAAACTGAGGAGACCAGGTTTTTTCTTTGCTCACAGCACGGGTATATTTCAGTATGACAATGCCAGTTTTCACACATGATTTGGCCCCCACAGAGCCCAGACATTAACCCCTGTGAGAATCTTAGGGATATGCTTTAGGAGGAGACCTTAAGCAGCAGCTCTGGATGGAAATAAATGTTGTGACACCGCATAAGCTTATGAAAATGATGCCACAGTGGATGCTCGCTGTCATCAAATATGAAGGCGGTCCAATTAAATATTAGGCTGTGTGACTTTTGTTGGCCAGCCAGTGTAAATCAGGTCTCTCTATAGCTGCTAGACACGAGAGCACAATGGCAAACAGCTGCTTAAGCAGTGGACCACAGCGACTGTTACATAACAATCATGGGCTACACTATGTTAAGACACTTAAATATAAGGGATTATAGCCTTATAACAATCTACTGAATCAATATGAAGACTAGTTTGTGCAGAACAAACATGCCAAACAACACAACTTTGTATCACGTATCAGTTTGTAACACAGCTGTGCGACTTTACTCGAGTGGTTCGCTCTCACCACCCTCACGGCGCCTCCTTTTGGCCGCAGCTGTTTTCAAAGAGTCACTTACTGTACATTACCCGCTCGACACCAAAACCGCAGACAAACTCAGTTACTGCAGGTTTAGGACTGCGTGGACGTAATCCTTGCGCTTACATAAAAACACATCATTTAAACAGAGGACCTATTGCATGTGACAGGACGGCCCAGTTTGACAGTGCACTTTGCACTCTCCAGGCCTTCGGGCGAGTCTACGAGAATGCCGAGTCTGGGCAAAGTCCCTCCCTCTCAGCAGTGCACAGAGCACAGGGATCAAATACTACAGCATCCCCAGCAGAGCAGATGCAGCAGGGCACAACCCCAGCGAGTAAACATCTCTCTGGGGATCCCTATCTGCTTTCCCATTCTCTGACTTCTTGCCCCTTTCTAGGGAGTAATGAGAACAAAGTCTGTTTATTGTCTGAGGTATTGTGCTAGTGCCTGAACTCATCCAGAGAGACACTGATCCAATTTTAAGCCTCCCCTTCTCCTCCGTTCTCCTTACTTTCAGACAGTGTCTCATTTACTGGCTCATATATATTACTGTCCTTGTTCTTTCGTTTTTTTGGCCACCCCTTTTGAGAAAACTCCTCCCCAGCGCTCTACTCGTTTTTTTGTCTTCATTCATCACTTCATCCATCTTACACTCTACTCCAGCTACTCTCTCACACTGCCAGTTGACCTCTTGGATTCTCTGCGTCCCTCTTTTCTCTCGTCTTTGTCAGTCTTGGCCTCCCTAGTTTCCTCTTCCGCGCACCCTCATCTGTCACTCGACATCATTCACGCTTTCCCTCCTGCTCTTTTTGTTGATCTTGGCAGCCACTTCTCTCTCTCTCTCTCTCTCTCTCTCTCATCATCATCATCATCATCTCTTGCTTGGCACTGGTCACACTCCACCTCCTCCTCTTTCTCATTTTGGCAACCCAGAGCCCCCCTGCTGGTCTGTGGCTGTGAGCTATGTCCTTGAACAAAGGTCAGGTGGGTTTCCTCTAGTTTGAGGGGTCTCTCCTCAAGCTGTTGTTTGCATGTCAAGCACGGGTTTTTTGTGGCTTTTTTGGGTCGGGAGAGTAAATGTTTTTCTCTCAAACGTGCACGCTCAAGGACATTTGTTGTTTGAGTGTTTGTGTGTGTATGTGTGTGTGTGTGTGTGTTTTCTGACTACATGCAGAGGAAGGGCCATGCATGATCTTTCCTGCCAGTGATTGCCCTTGACATGGACACAAGAGGATAAGCAACACACCTGACTGCCAGCCTCTGTGTGTGCTGTGTAGATGGGACTCATGTGCGTGTGTGTGAGTAAATGCACTTCCCTGTGTGTGCATGCGCGAATGCGTGCATAGCTTCTCCGCTGCATTTCCACAGGATAAACAATGCTATCCAAACCTATTATGAATACTCTGACTAAACTGACACTGATTACATGTTCACAAACAAAACACACACAAAACTCCGTCTCTGAATCAGCACACAGACGGACACGCGTGCGTCAGAGTTTTTGGGCCAAGATGGCTACGTTTGACCTCAATCACTCCGCATGCAGGACGATGTGGGAGGAAAGAGGGCGGAGCCTCCTGGCAAAGCCAACACCTGGGCAGTTACTGCAGCAGTAGCAAGTGGAACATTTGGCTGGTGTCGCTGGGCAGGAATAATGAATTACAGTACCTGGAAAAGCCCACTGGGAAGCAGACTGGCTGTTGGCAAGTCACTGGAGGGTTTCAAGTTTGGGTTTTCATCATTCGCATAATAAATTTTGGCTCTCAGGGAGGGCGGGGGTGTAACAGCAGGACTGAAATCCAAAGCTGAGTGCCTACCTGAGCGTTTTGGTGGTCATGTCTGCTGCAGTGATGCCGTGATACACCAGCGTTTCGTTCCACACTGGATTCAGTGTGTTTTTCAGGGTTTTTGTGCGTAGTTTGTTTGCCTGCAGAGGAAAAGTGAGACAGATGAAAAGAGAGTTACAGAAAGGCGAAGATCTAAAGAACAAACAGAAGAGTCAGGAATGTTCAAAGGGCAGGAGAGCAAATTCACTAGCTCAGATTCACATAATACAAGAAAAAAATAAGAGCAACAATAGATAAAGAAAAAAGAAAGTGAAAGAGTGGGGACGCATCATTTTTCACTGTCCCTTTGGACATCACAGACATCTGCTGCCTGGGCTATTAAAAAAAGAAAAAGAGGTGAAAGCACGCACGGCTACCCTCACCTCACCTGTCCGTCTGCCTCCTTCTCAACATGATTAGAGAGTGCATTAGCACCAGCCAGACCGCCAAAACAAACACCGCGTCTCAAACGCAACACGACACAGCAGCCAATTAAACCGTGCAACACAATCATGATGAAAAATTAAACCTTTCCAGAAGAGGAAATGCTCCCGAGCTCCTAATGGCTTCAGCAACCATAAATAAAGTTTGCATCTACGTGCTGCCTCGCTTGACTTCAGCGAGTTCTAATCTTGTTTGACTTTTATCTCAGGTTTAATCAGGACGCTTATATACTTGTATATATATGCATATATGCTGTATTTGGATTGCATCCCATAAAATGCCTTCAATTTCTACAAACAAGTAAGACCATGATGAGACACTGGCAGAACGAACTGGCGGGTTAGTAAAGTGCAGATGTGTGTTTTTTTGTATTTTCTCCCTCTGTTGAAAAAATACATTAATAAACAACAGTTACTTTGCATATTTTAATTTGACTGCAAGTCTTTTGCTTAATGGAGTATTTTTGTTCCGTTGCTCTTCTTTCGCCACTGCAGGCTATGCAAAATTATACTGTATGTATGTTACAAATACACATTTCCCTCTTAATACCCTCCTGCTCGTGTCTGAGGCATGTGTGAAGTCAGATGCCTCAACTCTCGTCCTCTCTGCCACTGTCAGCTTCTTGCTATAATGCCTCAGGGCCAGAGGCTGAATGCTCCATGCCATCTTCTTTCTCTTTGTCTGTCTTTGTCCCCTCGTCCTATTGTTCTGCCTGAGCAGAAATTCCCTCTTCTCCCCTCTTGCCTCATCTCTGTCTCCTCCTCTATTCTCCGTGTTCTGCTGGAAACATCTGGCTTATCGACCGCACTCGGCTCTTTAGAAGTTGGTCGATCGAGGAAAACAAGTGTCTTCGATTCGTGTCATTTGTTTGATTCATCAATGTGCGAGACGAGCCACGCTTAAGCAGCGTCACGACTTGCAGCGGTGTTTCACCGCCTGCCGTGTGCGTGCCGGCACAACTCAGCAGAACAGTTATTTTTCTAACACTCATCACTTGTTTGCGCTCGGATCAGGTTTGGTTTCTGCTCCATCTTCAAACAAAAAACAAAAAAACCCACCACTTCCGTCTCTGTCACTCCCATCCTCCGTTTTCCCTCTGTACTGCTGCCTTTTTTTGTTTTGCTTTGTTTTTAAATGTTTTATCAGTAGCACTCCATCTGTCCACCACACCACACCACCCCCATCTGTCTGCATAGATCATTTTACATACTTCATACTCCCTCTTCCTCAGTCCCTACTTCCCAAAGCTCTGAATGAATATTCTTTTCATGTCGGTTTGTAATGGAGAGATGAAGATAACGGTGACCATCACAGACGTGCACTAAGAACTACAACTGTGTGTGTGTGTGTGTGTGTGTGTAAGAGAGGGAAAGTGGGAGCATCTCTGTGTGGTTATGACTAAATCCTTAGCATGTGTCAGCACATGTACAAGGTCACGGTGAGCATGTGTTGTTGCACTTGACAGCGAGGGAAGGCACGCTTAGCTGTCTGCTGGTTAAGGAGTGTGTGTCGGTGGGTGTGAGACAGTAGGAAAGGAAGCAAGGAAACGTGCCAGGGCAGAGGAGAGATACCCCCACCCCCATGTGGTGGGTATTTAGCAAACAGTCATTCATGGATACTACTCATTGATGCCGTCTCTGCGTTCCTCCACCACCGCCTATACCCCCCATCAACAATTGCCTGTTGACGTGAGCCGTGTAACAATCCTCCCTGTTTCCATGACAACCACCTGCTGCTGTCCTCCCCTCATCTGTCTTTCCCTCTCTCCCCCCTGCCCTCCCTTCCTCCACTCCCCCCTTTCTTCCTCTCCTCTCAGTTGTCTCCCTCTCTGCACACTGTTGGTATTTCAAGGTCAAAGAGGGTCACAGGCAGATAGTGAGATAGAGACAGAGATAGGGCTGGCGAAGTGGGGAGGTGAGAATTACAACAATGGGACAGAAGACAGACAGAGGAAGGCTGGAGGACAAAAATCCCCCAGACGTCGTTATGGTCGGCACCTTGAGACTTCAGACGTTTGCCTTGTTCGGGCTGTGCCGCCTTCATCGTCTCCACCCACAGCACTTTCATAACCTCATTTGGAGTCAACTTTGAGCCAAAATGGCCGACAACAGGTTGTATTATTGGGTTGCTGCTGTTGTGGCAAGCTTTATCTTCCCTGCTGCTTGAGCTGAAAACAAGACAAGAGAAGTCCAGTGGACCAGAACGTGTTTGCGCTCGATAAAGAGGAGCACCGGACAAGCCACATTAAGCAGTAACCAACTGAAACGCTCCCTGCTCGTTGGATTGAAGCGACACACACACAACAAATTAGCTTGCTCCCATGTTACATTTTTGTTTTTCAGGCTTTTGACCTCTTCATGATGTTTCATAAGGAAGAATCCACAAGGGGGGAATTCACATAGACCTGCATCTGGGGTTTTTTTTGGTTTCCTCAGTAAGTGATCTACTTCTACCACCAGTTACTGCGTGACATACAAGCTCAACGACAGTTAGTAACTGGGACATCCCAGCGTGGCGGCATGTTACGATAATTGCTGTTGAGGTAAGGGTGAAGCAGTGACCTTGCTAGCCCCAGGGAGAAGATGCAGCTTGACGTATGGATCAGCCAGCCCATTGGAGTCCATGGCTTTCAGTCCCTGTGGACACAAACAGACACACAAACACACAAGTTCTATAGTGTCAAAGGTGATGTCATGGTGCCCTCCAACTATTCACACATAACTGTCAGGGTCAGAAAAAGACAGCACGTACGACGGACCTGTTCGACAGCAGTCACATCTCAATAGTTCTTCTGGCAGTTTTCTCTCTCTAGGCTAGTGTTTTCTACCTCCTTTGTAATGGCCTCAAGGGAACTGTTCAGTGAGATTTGCATAATTGACATCATGGGAGTGCGTGCAGCATGCAACGGACGGCTCGTGTCCTTGCACGATGACCAAAATGTGTCTGCGAGAGCAACCTAGCAACATTATCCAGCATTACGTCGCGCCGTGAGATGATTTAGTCTTGAACTGACAAGCTGCCGAGGCTACGTGGCAAATTTGTTTCCCTACAAAGGTTGAGAGACAGGAGTCTGACGTCTTCTGCAAACGTAAAAGCATTACAGGAGAATCATTTTCACTGGGCCTTCAAGGAGGATTACGCAACGGCACACATGCAGACAGACAGCCTAGTTATAAAGAAGATTTTACAATTGCGCGTACCTTTGCCTTGTGAATAGTACAATGCAGACAGTTGTTTTCTTGATCAAAGAGCAGGTTGAACTCCAGCGTTCCCAGGTAGGCTATAAAAAAGAAGAAAAACAACCACACACAAAACACAGCAATTACTGTCAGAAAAAGCAGAGACACGTTCAGTCTAACACACACTCAAAAGCTCTGAGTCATATTTGTAGCAGATGGGCTCTTCAAAATACAATGCTGCCTAATATGAATTGATCTGTCTTGTTTGATTACTGTTTGGGAAAGAACAGAAACCAGAGCCCTGCTATTGCAGCGCGGTGTAATAAATCATTAGAGCCGCTGTGTCACATAAAGTGGGAGTGACAAACACACAAACACAAAATGCTTCACTCCACAATTACTCTGCAAGCATATGCTGTGCTTCTGAGAGGGGAAGGGGAAAAAAGCAGAAGCTCAAATCAAGTAAAACAAGATAATGTTCCACTCTAAACTGCATAAAACAGCGTTGTTTTTTTATGCTGCGGTGCTTAGTCATTTTCGCATGAATGAAAACCCCCGACTTTGAACTTCGAGCACAACTTTCCCCACCGCAAAACTCACTGTCATCATCATCAGAGTCGATCAGCTCCTCCCTGTCTCCCTCATTCTCCCCTCTTCTCTCGCCATCCTTGTACCCTCCGCCCGTCTCCCCATTGAAAGTCTCCTCTTTCAGGATCTTCTTCTCCCTGGGAGGTGGCGGCGTGCAGGGGTAGTCGTGGAAACGCGGGAAGAAGTCTGAGATCTGTGGGATGGGGAGGATGGGCCCTGGGCACACGTTAATGGCAAAGTGCTCCTGCATAGAGATTTTGACTGGCGAGGGCGGGGGCGGGGCAATAGAGTGGGGCGTCGCCGAGGGGGAGGAGGCGGACGAGGAAGGGGTGGAGGCGGAGGAAGGGGGGATGGCCAGGTGGGAGGTCGAGGGTGGCGGTGGGGGCTTGGAGACACTCATGTGGACTGTCAGACGGGACTGTGGAATAAAAATGGAGAAGCGAAGCAGAGAAGGACAAAAAAAAATGGTGAGAAAGACAAAGATAATTACACGAAAACACCGTCAGCCTCCTCTGACTCTGTCACACTCCACTTTGCAGGGGGTCAGTGGTTTTCAAAGAGCACACTGGTCTCGTATTTACACGGAAGGATGGGTGAACCCATCACTAGTGGGCACCTTCAAGCAAAGGTCTGAGTCCCCCTGAGATGCATTCAGGCTGCGCTGAGATGCAAGAACTCTCAGATCTCTGAGATCATTCAGACCACATTCGGAGCTGGTCTGGGCTGTTTCTGTTAGCACTATGTAAGGAGAAAGTTTGCCTTCAGGGCTTTCTGCCAGTAATGCTTTGTCTCTGAAAGCTTTTTTTGAAAAAAATTAATATATCTTTCATTATTTTCACTTCTTCGGTTCAGTTATATACAGGCACCAAAATAGGTAGATATGGCAAAAAAATAAAGCCTGCTTTTTAAACCCACCTTTATTTAAATGTTTACTGTGTCTTCCAATCTCTGTGTGGCAGAAAGCCACTGAAGACAAACTTTTCCCATGGGAAATGTGCCCTGCACCAGAGTGAAGGACCACTTACTCAACCGACACCCTCCACATAAGTGGATCCAGCTAGTATTTATTTGTCTTCTTCTTTTATTTTCTGGCAGACTATGCACAGGGAGCGCGTTGCTGCCTCCCACGGGTTAAAATCAACACTATATTTCCATGTGTTTATTTGCATATGGAGCAGGGAGGTGAAAATCCAGTCACAGGTGGTCATGACACGCATCTGCAACATCCTGTGAAAAACTGAAATGTGTTCCTGTTTTAATCCACTGATGAAATCCTGACCTGTCAAGAGCCAAAATAGAATTTGCCAGAACCCTTGGCACTTCAAGCATGACTCACACATTGTGTCAGCACCGAGTCTGTGCTCTGAATGAATATTCAAATGCAATGCTGTAAAGTAACGAACAAGAGATGTCACTTGTGTATCGGTTCTCAAATCCATCCCTTACCGCCCTCTTTTCCCTCTTCTCTCTCTCATCTGCAACTCCCCAGAGCAATATTTACATAATACTACTTGGAGCCTTTCTCAGTCCTTAGCATATTTGTACCTAAATGAAGCATAATGACTGTTTCTAGACTCCATCATCATTAAGCCAAATGCTCTAATTTCCTATTTTCCTGGCAGTAATTAAGAAATACTGAAGATGTACTCCCACGGTGCTCTTGAGTCTTTAATATTTTAAGATCCTGTTTGATTTTATTGGTCACAGTAAAAAAAGAAAAACAAAAAAACCCAACAAACACAAAAAAAGAAAAACCAACTTCAGACTGTTTACTGTCGCTGTCCCAGATTAAAATGCTAAATATAAAAATAACTCCATTAAAGAAAAAACTGGCTTAGTGTGTGCAAAAATATACAGATGCACTTCATGAACGAGCATGACGAAGTCACTGTCGACAGCCACATCACAACAGCAGGTCATGTGAGGATGCACGCCAGTCGTCATCCTTCCTATATGTTTCACATGTCCATCATGTCACAGCTTGTTAGATTCAGCTGGTGGCATCTGCTCCTTCATATCTGAGCAGTTTGTGTTTCACACACATCTTTAGTGTTTGACTGATTCAACTTGATTCGTTTGTTGAAGGCACAAACGTTTCCTTAACTTGAAAAGTTGCGTGTGAAAGTGCTGAAGCAGTTTTGGATGACTTTCCTATTAATTAATAGTGCAAAGAAAAAAACCTAACGCATGTTTCAAGAGCATCTTTCTCTTATCTGTCAGATAAGAGACACATGCAATGATATATCGGTCGAATGGTGTTGCAAACAAGTCAGCGTTCGCTGACGGCAGCGGTCGATATATATTTGTTGTGTCACATCAGTTTTGCACTGGCTAAATGTTCAAACGTAGTGTGATGAAGACCTGAAAGATTTGTTTCTCTTGGCACAGAGGGGGCGATTCATTAGGAAAAAAACAAATAGACTGAAAATATTCTCTTACCAGCTTTTGGCCAAATTGTTATCACATTTGCACTAAAAAAATAGTTTTTTACCCTCAGCAAATGTGAGGCAAAGAGTCTGAGTAAAATGCAACTGAAATAAATAAAATCAAAGGTTTATTCATGCAAATAATTAATTAATAAGGAAAATGTAATTAGTATAAACTGAGACTGTACTCAAGCAACATTCACTTGACCAGATTCCATTAAATGTAAAATTTTGTGAGAAAATTACATGAAACATTTACATGTAATTAAATTAGTTAAAGTCAGCTTTTCAGGCTTTTTTCTTTTTTTGACTGTGGGCTGATCAAGGGTCTACAACTCAAAGATAGTTCACAAAAAACAGAGAAAATCAAGGAAAAACTCAGAATCGTTGCCATTTTTGCATAACAAAAGCCTTAATCAGTCTTGAAAATTGTTATTGATTATTGTCCTGTCAATTTGCACACAGAATAACTGATTGATTGTTTCACCTCCTTTGAAATGAGCTCGAGCTTTAATGAGACTTTGCGGGAATGTCGTTCGATGTCATCTTTTTTCACAGTGAGCTTAATTTCTCCATCTACATGAGTCAGAACTCGAGCAAAAATCAGCAACGGGGGAAAAACAAAAACAGACTAACAATGCCTTGTTTTCATCAGCATTGGTGTAGCTCATCTCCAGTCTACGGTGAAGCATGCTGACCACTCCACGCACAAACATTCACGTGCATGTGAGGCTGAACGCACCTCTGTGTCAACACCTTAACTCGCTTTTGAACTTGCATCTGTAAGAGCATCCCGCATTCCTGACCATACTTCATTACACACATTTATTCAGACCCTCAACACACATAAAGACCCCAAACCGCCAGTCCCCGTCCTCAACAACTACACTCATTCAGTCACTCACGCCGCTCTTACGTAACAGCACCTAAATTCGCTGCTTGGGAACCCGCGTTCAAATGTTCACTTGCAGCATGTTGCTTGCAAACTCATTCGCTCGCGTCCTTTTACATACTGAGACACGCACATGCGAGCGCATGTGCTCACACACACACAGACTTCCAGACACGCGTACACACATTCACAATTATAGCCACCCTCAAAAAAACATACCCAGGGACAGTCTTCATCTGTGCCAGCACTCCATCTTGCCTGCTCTCACATCCTCTGTCTCTCACACTCTGTGGAGCATGCAGACCAGCTTTGAGTCAATATATCCTTCTGTACTCTCTCTCTCTCTCTCTCTGCTTTCTCCTTGTCTCTGTTCATCGTTTGCTCTGCTCTGCTCTCCCCTCCCTCTCTCCCTTCCCCTTTACTTGTGACGTATGTGCTTAAAATCCACATCAGTCGTTTCCAGACTGTGCATATAGTACTGTCACTCACTTTCTCGGCAGTGGGGAGAAATCCGGGCAAAAAGGCAGGCTTGGGAGGGAGAAGTGTTTGTGGGGTTTTGACAGAAAGGAATAGAGAGGGAGAGAGAGTGACAGACAGACAAGAAGAGCAATACATCGGGACAGACGGGGAGACAAACAGACAAACACAAGGCAGTAGGAGCAAAGACAAACACACAGAGACGCAGATATATATATATATATATATATACATACAGTACATGTGGAGGGAAATGGGTGTGAAAACACTGACTGCACACAATAGGAAACATTACTTAAAGGTGGGAAAAAGGGGGACGGGGGCACTAGCTGAAGGACACAGAAAGGAAATTAAATTCAATGTGTTGACTGAGCTCAACAAAACACACCGCCAACCATTAAATTACACTACCAGATTACTTTGTGTGGGCTATGACTACAGCCAATATCAGACAAGCATATGTGTGTGCGTGTGTGTTTGTCTGCATGTGTCCAATTCAAGAAGAGCTGATAGTAACGGCTGCCACCTGCCACAGTAATAAAATGAATCAAAGGCAGCAACGCATCAGTAGCAGTGGATTTATGTGGGATGTCACTGATGGAAATCAGCAATGGTCACAAGGATGAACAACAATACGACTGACTGAGTGTGTTCAACCCTGCAAGTTTATGAGGTTTTTAAAATTAGAGGGCTTATTAGCATTAGAAAACGATTTTTGTGTTTTATTTGTTGTGATAATACTTTTTTAACCCCCAAATCCTATTTTCTAAGAGGTTCAACATGCATTTAGACCCGGCAGTTATCCAAATGTATGAAATAGTTTATACTTTTTAGTCATTCAAAGACCATAAGGCATAAAATGTGAACTGTTTGGTGCAATAAAAATGTTTTATGGTCCTGTTTGGTTAGATTATTAAATTATCTTCAAAGCGACTGGTTAGTAAACTTTCTGAAGTGGATTTTAATCAAGTCAAAAGAAAAGAGAATATCTGAAGGAAAAATTAAAGGAAAGATAACATTTTCTAAATGTTAGCATGAGGAGCATTAAGGTTGATGGGACATGCAGCCAATATCAATAAAACACGAGGCTTTGATAGGAGGGGTGAAGAAGGGGCCATCTCCAGTGTTCTAAGGAAAAGGGGAGAACAAAGATGGAAAAATGGATATAAAAGAGAAAACATTCAGTCTCAATGAGAAAAATGAGAGTAAACCAATAAACCTGGACGGCAGCTCTTTGGAATCACAGCAAAAAGGTTCATGGTTCAAATCCCAGCTGGGGGAGAGTTGGCATGTTCTCTCGTACTCTGGCTTCCTCCCAGAGTCCAAAGACAAAGTGATTTTAAATTGGCCATGGAAGTGAGCTAGCGACAGTGTATAGCACAAACGACTGCACAAAGACATGAACGCTACATGATGTATCATGTAGAGTGGGAGCCCATTGGAAGGTTGTTGGTTTGATCCCTGGCTGCTCCAGTCAGCATGCCAAGATATTAAGTTGCTGCAGATGTGTCTGTCGGAGTGTGAATGTTAGAAAACAATTAGAAAAAGTGCTTTTGTAAATGAGGCAAGTTGTATAAAGTGCTTTGAGTAGAAAAGCGCTATATAAGAACCAGTCCATTTACCACGGTTAAAATTCGCCTTCAGTTTAAAGAGCTTTGAGAAAAGCATTTTAAAAACGTGAGTATATTTGTTTTGTCTGATATTACTGAGTTTCTTCAGAGACACAAACAGGCTTTTTGCCTTTAAATGACCCGATTTGTTTGAGACGTTTATCCCAGCTATGGTCTGTATATAAAAGACAGACATAACGTCAGGTCTGAAAAGTCAAGCCAGCGTCTAAGTGTCTTAGCTCTAAATCTTTGTAAATGCCATCAGAGGGCATCTGGTTATAAAATGAAGCCCAACTTACCCCACTGCTCACTGAATTTATGATTTTATAAAAACATTCCTGATGAGATTACAGCCTCAGTAGTTATGCAACAAGTTAAATATGTAAATTAAATTCCTATTCAGATCAAAATAAAGTCTGATTGACGAGTCTCCACCATATAAGCCTGCGTTCATCGGTTTTCAGTTAGATCCAAGCTTTGTACAAACTAGTGGCTAATATTAGGCTGGCTGCATCCATCATTTATATACAGTCCATGATTACCTCCTATTTCATTGTGATAATCTTGACTGGCAAAAAAAACCCAAGTCATGCTAAGGGTAAAGTGGAGTACTGTGGTTATAGAGCACCAAGTTTATGGTGGATGAGGGTAGCGTCACTGGATCTGCTGAAAAATTGCTTTCAGGTGGGAGTGCAGCATTTTGACCCTTGTCTAATAATAACAGTGTGTTTATTTTGGCAACCAAGATTACAAGAGTTGTCTGATAGCAGCTCAGCTATTCTCAGAGTTACAGAATTACACCTGTCCTATAATTACTAATATATGTAGTAAATGCTGGTCTGAGCTGCACTCAGTGGGTTGGCGTAAACATTAACAATGTCATTTTGCATTGTTAAAAAGTAACAAATGATCAACATCAAGCATTTTCAGTTATATTAATGGTCGGAGGAGAAGAGGGGTAAATACATGTGGGTGTGTCAGCTCATCCATTTATAGGCAGATTTAGTCTGGGCATGTCATCACTATCAGGATTACCGCATCAATATTGCGTTAACAAACCATTACACTGTTTATTCATTAATTTGCAAGAAGAACATGTCGGCTAAATGAGTTGAAATGAGATAAATGATTACTCGGTGTACCGGGGCCAAAATTATCTATTTTTAAATAGGTGCTTTCGACATGCGCCACAGGCTTCGAGGGGCTTGAAATTGATTCTCCTACAGTAAACATCTGCCTGAGTTCTGGTTACACGGACACAAAGTCTTCATGGTGTTGGTTTCCACACAGCTACTCGGCCGTCTGGTGAAAATGAAGAAGCACAGGTGAGCAATTTCACTCCACCCACAGCGTCAGTTATTAGAGTGCTCATAGCTGACCTCCAAAACTCTCAGACGCTCTTCATGTGTCTGTGCACTGTAGTCCACCAGGAGGGCTCTTGCAGCATGTTCAGGTCATGGATCAACAATGAACCACAGATTTCTGGTGCACTTTCTCTGAGTTAGTTTAGCAAAACAATTGCAAAATTTTTTTTTCAAGTATCTGAGTGGTGTCTGGAACACCAGGGGGGTTCGTTCTTTTTTCTTTTTTTTTTTTTTTAAAGCTGGACGGTATATAGAGGAACAAGGTTATAGGAGAGATATATTGGTTGGCTTTCGTAGGTAGTGTATATAGGCTATTTAGTTGTGTGGCTGGGGGAGGCATTATGTCTGATGTGGTGGTTAGTAATACTAAAGCATCACAGGGGCCAGTCCTGTTTCCATTCCTGTTTACTTTGTACACCTCAGATATCGAGTATATCAGTGATTCATGCCACCTGCAGAGGTACACTGATGACATCGCAGTGGTTGGGTGTGTTAGGGGTGGGCACGAGTCGGAGCACAGGGAGCTGGTGAAGAATTTTGTCAGGCAGAAATCACCTGCTCCTGAATGTCAGCAAGACAAAAGACATTCAGAGATAGCGGTTGATTCCCGGAGGGGAAAAAACTGCAGGTGAGGAGGTTAAATCAGTGTTCATTTGAATGACAGACTGAACTGGTGGAGCAACAGTGATGATGTGTACAAGAAGGGGATGAGCAACACACCCTACTTTCTGAGGAAGCTCAGGTCCTTCAGTGTGTGCAGAAAGATGCTGGAGATCTTCTACCTGACTGTGGAGGCGATTTTACTGTCGTCTGCTGGGGGGCAGCATCAGTGGGAGAGAGCCGTGCAGGATCAACAAACTAATTCACAAGGCAGGAGTCATCACATTCTGGAGGTGTTTGAGTAAGTGAGGACAAGAGGTCACTGAAAAACTGCTCTCCATCATGGATACCTGTCACATCAGCTCCATTCATCACTACAGAAGCAGCGGAGCTCATTCTTCCTCAACATTATTCAGTTATTGATGGCATAAAGAATACTTCAGGAAATCATCCATACTGTTATCAACACTGTGTATTAAAGCTTCTTGCTGCTGTAGGTTACTATATAAAAAAACCTTTATTGAATCATGTCTAAATAAGTGAATAACTTTAGGATTTGTGGGGTTTTCTTAAAATCCTGTACTACAGCAGTGCAGATTAAGTTTTTTTCATTTTGTTCGCTCTCCTCAAAGCACTGAAATCATCCATCCAAAATATTAAACAGCCAAAACACAGCCCAGAAACAATGCTTCTGCTACTCTGGATTAATCACAGGCATTGTTTTTCACAGTAACATTTTCCTATGAAAGAAAATGTCCGTGATTTTTACACACTGTATGAACAAAATGAAGGGAATATAAATATTTGTGAAACATGAGTACCCTGTATCCAGAATCACTCGATTTGAATGTTATGGCTGTTAAATGTCTGATATCAGTTTTATTTACTTGCATTTCTGTGACTAGTAGACATCATCAGTGATAAACAGGAAACAACCCAGAATAGGTGTGTGAAGCCTCTGGCTACTTTAATAAATGCATGCAACATCTCAGGTGAACGTTTAACCTCACAACTAATTATTTTGATTCCTAAACCAAGCAGCAAGGTAAAATGAAATTTCATAGCTACTAAAAACTGAACCAAGGCAAAAAATGAATATGACTCAAACACTCTGGATAATAATTGATGGTCTTTAAAAGTGAAATCTCTACCTCACCATTAAGTGAGGTAGACTGTAGACTGTTGCTACAGGCCATTCGATCCTTATACAACCGTTGC